TCGCCAGAGATCTCCTACTCCAGCAGCGGCTGGACCCTCTCGCCAGAGATCTCCTAGTCCTGCAGTGGCTGGACCCTCTCGCCAGAGATCTCCTAGTGGAGCGGCTGGGCCATCTCAACAGAGATCTCCTAGCCCAGATATGGCATTTTTAATAGGTAATACTCTTTTGTCTCTCTTACATTACTGAAGTTTAACATTTTCTAATCCACTGTGTTCTAGATTTTTCCTCAGATGACGACGAACCTTTTGACGATGATGATGACTTCGTCCCTCCAAGCAAAATGCCCAAGCCAAGCACCGGCCCAGCTAGGAATTCAGACATCCGAACAAGAGCTCGGGAACTTTTGCAAAGAGGAAAAAGACGTAAGTAGTTTGTAGGATTTATGCCCATCATGTAGTTTCAGATTTACAGGCTGCTCTGATTTGTCATCACCAATACTTGTTGCAATAATCATTTCTGTTTCTTGCAGTTGAAGCACAAGCTGCCTTTGGAGGGCAACAGCAGCCACTAGTGCAGCCAGCTGCTCAGCAGTTGGTTCTACCACCAGCGCCACCAGCTCAACCAATAGCCCAGCAGCCAGCTCAACCAATAGCCTATCAGCCAGCTCAACCAATAGCCTATCAGCCAGCTCAACCGATAGCCCAGCACCCAGCTCAGCAGATTGTCCAGCCACTAGCTGAGGAAGCTCAACAGCCAGCCGTGGGGCCAGTCCAAGAGGCGGGTGCACCACCTCCACCTCCCCCGTACGAACATGAAGAGCATGCTGGATTATGTAAAGTATGCCTTGAGAGGCCATACCAAGCCTTGCTCAGCTGTGGGCATTTCTTTTGCCTACCTTGTGTGAACAACCTAAAGGCAACGAAAAGGGGCTGTGCTATCTGCCGCAAGCGTTTTAGAAAGTGGACTCCAGTATTTGGCTAAGCATATATTCAATTGTGTTTTGGTGACGACCGATTGAACAATGATATAGTCTACAAAAGTATTATAAATAGAAATCAAAATAATTTTTATGAATTATTTTTAGATCTTTGAGGTTGTAACGTGATGGTGATTTCTTTTCACTATTTTAACAACTGTGAACTTGATTGGGAACGACGCCGGTGGCGCTCCTACAGGGACGCCCTCGACTTGTTTCCCCTCACCCCTCGCCTTCCTCGCCAAGCACGGCACGGCACGCCTCCTCCCTCGCTCACTTTGTCGCCGGAGTCAGACCTGTGTTGAGCTGTCCTCTGCGCGTCATCGCGAGGTCCCTGTAACATCATGGAGTTCGAGTAAGTAATCTGATCTGTCCTGATCATGGCACTTTTAACTTCTATTGAGGTGTGTGTGGCATTCTCAAAGAGATTTTTAACACATTGAACAATTCTAACCATGGAATTTCATTATAAAAGTCGTGATTGGTTGCACCGGCGCCGCAAAAAGCCCGCGTGAAGTGTTGATGGTGAATCACCTCGTTTTCTTTTTGAACGAAAACTCGCGATTTTACTTTGAATTACTTCAGCCCTTTCATTTCCCTGTTCCCGTGAATTCCTACTGAGCTGGTAAAGTCGAGTCTTTTACCAGTTATATGTTGTGTCGTGACTTCAATGGCAAGCGTTTCTATGAGACCGCTCATTTGCCAAAGCTCTGTCCAAGTTTATCGTATTTTCTCTCTGCTGGCTCTTTTGAACGCGAATTCATTGTCAATTCTGGATTATTGGTGTAGTTTTTAAAGTTTAAGGCAGCGGAACATATTCAAGTGACATATAACCTAATTTTCTGAAACACACAGCTGCTCTGCATTTGCCTATAAATCTTCCCTTTAATTTCATGTGGCTTTTAATTCTGTGTTATCAATTTGTTCCCCAATTTTTAAAGCCAGCAGGCTAGTGTTTTCTTTGGAAACTTTTGAAATGGACCTCATCTAGAGTGTCAATGTATTCGGCATTCCCCTGTCTATAGGACTTTTATTTTTAATTATAGCCTCTTGAATCATGTTCTTATATCAATATCTGTGAGTGTAAATATGTGCTTTGCCCTGTGACTAACAACATTGTGTATTGCAGCCCATCTAAGGTGCGTCAAGCTCGCCTGTCAAGGTTTGAGAGTCATCAAGCCCAACTGCAAACAGAACAGCAGCAGCAGCAGGCGGCTTCGGATGTGCCTCCTCCACCACAGCAACAGTCTGCTATTGAAGATAGTCAGCAAGCTGCCTCAAGCAATATTGATGTACCTGCGTCTTTCCAGCAGCTGGCTGCTATTCACAAAGACTCGGAACAATCCTCAAGTGACTCTGATGTTTCCGGTCTACCCACGCAGCAGCGTGTTTCACAGCCAGACTCGCAAGCAAGCTCAATCGTTGCTGTTATTCCCACTCCACCCAAGGAATCAGCTGTTCTCCAACCGAGCTCTGCCCAAGGTGCATCTAGCAGTCCTGATGTACTTGCTGGACAGTCATGTCTTCAACTCGCACCAGTTCTACCCTCTGTGCTGAATGGAGGGAACCCTTCCACTGTAGTGATCCAAGTTTACAGTAAGTTTTTTTGAATTTAAACATATATATATACATATCTGACACTGTAAACCTTCCAATAACTCGTTACCTTTGAATTTTAGATTTTAACTCTGGTGGCGGCAGGGCTCAAGCTCAAGATGAACAGCTTCCCCCATACAGTAAGTTTGTTCTATTAAGGCATGACCCTAAGATAGTATTTATATTGTTTGCAAATGTTTCATGTCTCTTTTTATTTACAGTTCAAAGGATGCTTGCCGAATTTAATCAGAGATTTAATCAGCCACCTGCTGTTGTGGAGATTGCCGAAGATAAACCTCCAACTGCTTCACCTAGAGTTGCTGTTGTTACTGAGGCCGCTGCTTCAGCTGTAGTAGACCTCACTGACACAGATGATGAAGGCCCTGGACGGTCCAGAAGAAAACGTTTTCAAAGTCCATCAGCGGCTGGGCCCTCTCGCCAGAGATCTCCTACTCCAGCAGCGGCTGGACCCT